TCCATTTGATCCTGACAACAACCAGGTCAGAGGGCAGGACAGGTATTATACACTTTTTATAGAAAAGGAATTGACCCAGAGTCAGAGATGAATGATTTCTAAGGCTTATGAGAGAGTCCTCTTTGTTAATCACATAGCCTTTTCCCTTTTGGTAGCATACTTGATAGATTTTGAAGTATTTAAATGTTGCTGAGTTTCAGAAGAAATTAGTTAAACTTTGTAGGTCCAAAACCTTGATTATACTTCAAAAACCTCTTTAGTGTGTTAAGTCATATACGTTAGGGACGGTTCTTCTAGATTTAGCCCGTTGCTTTGTGAAGTAGAGTTCTAAGGGCATTTCTACGGCTGGCTTAGGATACTTTTAGCTACTCTACTTTGGAATCAGAATATGTACACAGCCTATCTTCCAAGCATGTGGTTTTTTCCTAGCATACGGTTTCGTGAATGTGTAGATGCCCAAGCTTTAGCACTTAGTACAAAATTTAACCAGTTAGCTATGGTATTAATAATTAAATGTTTTCAGAGAGCCAGCAGGGATGGTAAAATCCACAAACTCCTCTTACTACCTTTACAAAATCAGTTAAGAGCACTAAAGAGAGCGTGAGGAGCTGAATGAGAAGCATCTAATTCTCCAGTTCCATTTAGAAAGCCATTGAATGGGCGAGAGGGTGGGAATTTGTCACTGAATGGGTTTCTTCCCCCGCCCCACAACGTCAGATCTCCGCAGTGAATATTGGTGGAAACACGGGGTACCTTTCTGTGGCAGTAGCCACATGAATCCAAACAGTTTTTTTGTGTCTGGTGAGGACAGCTGCAGGTCACATCAAGGAGGTGATGGTGAGGAGTGATGAGAGTATCCTGGAGCCCTATGAAATATGTCTGCTCAATTTCTCAGAAACAAGGAAACAAACAAAGCAACAAAACTTTCAAAAAAATAAATCACTAGTACTGGGAGCTCTTGAATCAGAAAGAAAGGTGTAAAGAGTAGTTATGTTTGTTATGTGCTATATGAGGCAGGGGAGAAAATTATAGTGTTTGTATTCCATGTTTGAATCCTGGGTTTGAATTCGGTCTCTGACATTCCCTATGACATTTAGCTTCACTTTCCTCAAAGCAGGTCGTGAGGATTAAATAAAATGACTGGATGGATACAGCTAGCGTGCTGCCATACATGTAAAAGGC